TTGCGTTAAACTATATCATTAGAACCAAAAAATAGTATGTTACTATAGAGCAAAATGATGGACGTTGAAGGAGAAAATATCACAATATTTATCTGGGCAAGAAATGACATTTTTATCTATAAAAACTATTAGTGATTATGTTACTATTTATAGGTTCTATATTACTTAAATAGTATAAATATTTACAGAAATACTAAGAGTCAAGATATTTGCATTCCACCTAGTAACAAAAGTCCTTGAGTTATCATTTTCTCCTCTTGAGGCAATTTTAAAGAGATCTTAGAAGTGAATATGCACCTTTTCCAATTGGGTCTGGCCAACTTTAAGAGTACTATTCCTATCAGAATCGGCTGCATACGAAGCGGGCAGTTCTGCCTTTATTTGTGCTAAATAGGGGGAAAATTTGTAATTTGCCCCCTAATGAGTGGCTCAGAAACACCCGCCGTGTGGAATGTAGAACCCCGTAAAATTTTATAAGGATATATAGATATTGAATTATTAGTGATGAATAATTCTTTTGTGAAAATTTATCATATATACATATATATATATATTGAATGTGATGAATCATGTTTGGGAGCCTAACAAGAAATTCTATGTTGGAGAAAACAAGTGGATTCACCAGGATGTCAAACAGACATAGCAGGCAGTTGTCCTGCTGTGCGGTCGACCGCGACATGCGCGGCGGTCGACCGCACAGCAGTCGGGCACTCAGGGGACTTTTCTCCTGTTGTGCGGTCGACCGCGCTGGGCGCGGCGGTCGACCGCACAGCGGGCAGAGAGTTTTTCTGTGTTGGGTCTTAACGGGTTTCGGGTCGGGTTCGGGTCGGGTTGTGGGGATAGTATATATACTATTATACCCAAGAGAGCCCCATTTTCCATCTGATATCAGAACCCTAGCCCCCTCTCTCCCCTCAAACCCTAGTTTCTCACTCCTTGGTGATTTGGAGGAGCTTTGGAGGGCTTTTCAGCGAATTGTTGGTGGATTCAGTGAGAGGGATCATCTTCCTCCAGATCTAGGGCTTCGTTTTCGTCGTAGGCGAGTAACATCCCGCCCAACTTCATCCCTTTTCCTTTTTATGCTTGGATTTGAGTTTTATTTGGTTTTTATTGAGCCCAAAATCGTATTTTTGTGTAGATAAGTAGATCTTATGGCATGGGATGCAAGAATCATATATTTCAGTCTTAAAAAGTTCACTAATGATGTTTAATTAAATGAGTTTTTGATTTGAAGCACTTTTATGAGAGTTAAACTCATTTTTACTATTTAAGAACTTTTAAAATCATGTTGTTTAAGGTTTGGGATTTTTGATAATGAGGTTTTAACCATTTACACTTGTTGTTTATTACCATAGTTCTCTATTAAAAGGTTATAGTATAATGGGTATATAAATCCCCAAGTTTTTTTTTGTATGAGTTCGGTAGCTGACAGAACCCAGAATGAGGTTCTGTCCGCCCAGCGGTCGACCGCATAGGACTCAGCGGTCGACCGTCGCGCGTTCCTGCCTGCAGAATCGTTTCTGCGCTTTGGGCGGTCGACCGGCATGACCTCTGCGGTCGACCGCCGCTCAGCTTCTGAGCCCAGTAGTTCTCGGGCCTGCGAGCGGTCGACCGGAGTGGGTTCTGCGGTCCCCCCGCCGCACAGTTTTCCTGCCCTGTTTATTTCTGCTGTATAGTACACTCGTTAGAGCGCTTGCCTCGATCACCTAACTTTGATCTTCAGTTGTACTAAGCATCTATGCATGATAGATGGCCTGAAATACTTGCCTAGAATCACACGACGAGTTGAGTGTGAGTTTTGCATAAGTAAACCATGCCTTGTATATCACTAATACTTGCTCAGTTGCACAGTCCTCGTGTTGGACTATAATCCATAGAAGTCCTCGTGTTGGACTATAATCCATTTTCAGTCACCGTGTTGGGCAATTATCCATTTATCTCATGTGTTGGGAAATCTCTATATCTAATTCATGTACTGAACATCTTTATTAACCATGCATGCGACATTTCACATGAGTTATGACATGACACTTATGAAGAATATGACACCACATATATTGGGAGTATGATATGACACTTATGTCAAATACGACATGGTAATTATGTGGGACGTCACATAATACAATATATATATGTTCGGAGACAGGTTGCATTTTCTTTTTGCTTATTTCTGTTTACATATTAGACTCCGGGTTTGGTACTTAAGGATTTTCAATTTGGGATACAAGGTATATACATGAGGGTTTCCTTGTTTGGATTATTTCGCTCGACGTACCTATGCCCGTGTTGAAACTTCATAAGTACTAAGACCCATTGTTTATTGTTAGGGTAATTGTTTATATATATATATATACTTTGTGATAACTGTATTTTTCTTATACAATGAGCCCTCTCCCTTGGGGTTGGTTGTGATGTTGCTCGCTAGCGCTTTGACGCTCGTTGTCCCTCCCCCTTTCAGGTCACGAGCCAGGAGCCCGGAGAGTCGCAGGTTGATGACGACACACTTTAGTGTTCGACTGTCTATTCTAGCTATGTTTTATTATGGAGCTCCACTATAGACTTTGTTTAGACGGTTGAGGACTTTATTCCTAGATGTTGTAAAGGCTGTGTGCCTTATTTCCTTTACTCAGATTTGTTGTATTTGGGATGTATTAAGAACTCCAGTTTGTTCATTTCAGACATTGACTTTATATTCCTATATGTTGGATGATGAAATACTATGCGATCACTATTATTCCATCAGTTGTGTCTTGCAATATCTTGTACTTGCTTTTGTACCTACACCTGTTATTGATTCCACTAGACAGATGTTAATTGTGATGGTGAGACATGTTATTACACGGTGTGGTGCAAGGCAGGTTTGACATTCTTGGTTTCACCTTGGACTGCAGCCTTGTGTGAACTCAGGGGCGTCACAGCGGTCATGAGAGGATGCGTAGTACAACTTTGATTCGATCCCTTACGAAGATACCTACAAGTAGATCATACGGCAAACATGAGATATTCTCTCAAACCTCTAAGATGCATATAATATGCCATTTGTTGAAGAAATGTATTCAATAATTCTATATTTTTTTTCCATAGATATTGATAATCCAATTCCACGTCAGAAACGAGCTTAAAAAAGAAGGGGCAAAAAAAAGTTAGTGGTGATTAGTTATATATTAACAGGATAATCAGACATGCCCCACTTGATCTTTATTTCTCAGTGGGCCCGAAAGCAATCAAATATCTGACAAGGAGACTATATATTTTGTCAAATAATGATAGGGGCACACCCTTTACCACACTCCCAACCACACCACCTCTCTTGCTACAGTGCACGGGCCCATATGAGATTTTAATTTTTAAAATCTCATGTGGGCCTGCACTGTAGCAAGAGAGGTGGTGTGGTTAGGAGTGTGGTAGAGGGTGTGCCCCTAGTGCCTCTCTATTTTGTCAGGAACCCTGCAAATGAGTTGACTCTGAGCTATACTAGGAGACGGGTGAAACCTCCAAATTGCATCTCATACCTCCATCAGTATGGTTTAGATTATCCCCGCTCACATAAGGATTTTTCTGATAGAACTTATACTTATCTTGTCTTTAATATTTAAATGACATTATGAAATCTACAACCAAATTTGAAAGGTAATGAATGAAAGACAACAAATACTGGATTCGGTGCAAAAACACAAGATTGAGGCAAAATCCGACATACTACATGTGTAGAGTACTGAGAGAACCTAGTTCAAACAGTAACATCATTCTCGTTTTCTATGGAAGATTACAATTTGAATCTTTGTATCGACAGAGACAGATCAATGAGAAGTAATTTCCATAGATTAAAAGCCAAAATACATAAGTTGTTTCGACATAATCCACACGGAGACTCGTCATCTGTATATAAAACAGGATTAACTGCAAACAGACCCATTGTAGTATCACCTAATTACAAATAGACCCCACATAATTCTATTATTTTTGCAAATAGGCTCCCTAAGTGAAATTGTTTTTACTCTTAAAATCATTTGAGGAGGCGAGTAGACATTTAAAAGACCCTCAATTGCTAATTTCTTTTGACTTTTAAAAGAGTCGAAAAAGTCCAGTAAGGGATCGTATTGGCACCTAGGCCAATATCACAAAGGCCTATTCACGACAAATAGAACTACATGGAGATACTTACAATGGGGTGCTACTACAGGGGTTCAATTCGCAATTAATCCTATAAAATAAGAGCCTTTTCCTCTTGGTATGACTCTAAAGCAATAATACAAGGTTAATGGTAAATACACCTCCAGTATTAAAGGGGTTAGCGTTTATTATCTTTTAAAAAAAAATTTATTAGCACTTATACCTCTTGATATCGACGTGGACTATATTTCGTTCATGTTTGTCTTATAGAAGATGAACGTTCACACTAGATGAAGACAAAGCCCCCCCGCCCCAACCAACCCCAAAAGAAAAAAAATAATAAAAATACCCTGAATATCGTCATCTCTCTTTGCAAACAACGTGACGCCACAAGGCACGTATTTGACATTTACATGTCATGGATAGATAACTTCGTTTGAACAAAGGGTCCAAGTGTAGAGTAAGCCCTTGACATTCACGCGTCATGGAAAGAACTTCCTTTGAACAAAGGGTCAAATTGTAGAGTAAATTAACCTGGGCATCTTAAGATCTAAACAATAACAATGATCACAAAGCTCATGGACAAAAAAAAAAACAAACCAATCGACGTATGACTAGAGTCTGGATGAAAGATACGCCACTAACAAAACGTTCACACTAAACCATCTAACCTCTTGATGATCTAAAATGCAAGACTGCACAAGTTCTTTCAAGAGAGAGCATATGAGAGGCACTGAAGAATGGGGAAACCAAAACTATGTGACAAGTGAAAACATAAACAAGCATCAAACTATAGTTCAAGCCAGCAACTTAGAACATCAAAACCACAACATAGAAACGAACGTGCACAAAAAAAGGTGTTGATTATTTCAC